GGAAATTGAACTGCTTTTGTGGTCGTCCATTTGGCTGTCTCTTCGGCAAAACCGCTGAGAATTGAACACTACTAAAGGCCAACTTTCGCGCAACTTTTCCTAATGCGTTCCCCCATCCGTATCAGATTTTCATCTATTCAGACGCGGTGAATGTTAAACCAACAAAGGCGATTGGTATTTTCCCTTCTTATCACGCTTTTACTTTGACGCAGTTTTTTACTTTTCAGAATTAAACATTGTCACACAACCTCCGATAGGCACTGGCGAAACCCGTTGAGCACGCTTAGCTTTTTAACGAGGCAATGTCTGCCCGTAATCCAATAGCGGTGGACGTCTCCACAAGCGTACCGATAGTGGAGTTTCTGGAGAACTGTCGGACAGCCAAAAATTTTCCCGAACCCCTGAAGATGAGCGTGGATCGGATTTTGTTAGAAAAAAATCACATTCGGTTTAGTATTGTATGTGAATGCCATACATGGATGAAAAATAATGGAAAAGTATCACCGCCACACCTCTGGAAGCTTTTCCGTTCAACTACAGTCGTTTTACCAGTACCAAAACCAACCCCAAGAAATCCCGAATTAGACGCACGGGTTAACGCCCTTCGTACCAAATTTGCGAACGACGAATATAACAGAATGATTGAAAACTTGGGACCAAAAATCGCTGTGCCACTAAACAAAGAGAGTGGGGTATCTGTTTGTTCTGAATTGAAATGTTTGAATAAGCAACTTATGATGATTTTGAATTTTATCATAATCATATCTTCGGGTTTTGCTTTCGGATACTTCATCCCAGAGATGATTTCTTCAGCTCACGAAGTGAACTTTACCACAAGAATCATGTGTGCGTTATCTGTCTCCTTTTTGGTATTTTTCGCTGATTTGTACTTTCTCTTGAAAAATTTGAATGCAGTGGAAGAGACAAGGTAAAATTGGGTCTTTTTGGTAAAACACCGAATACGGACAGATAAGTGGTCCAGGGAATTCATCTTTCAATCTGTCGTGTCCTGTTTACTGGAAAAGTCAACTTGCGAGTGACTACCATATTGTGGTCGGTGATTCTTTTACCTTGTCACGATGGTTATAAGAGGTGAGTCGACTTCATGAAGATCCTGAAATTTCTCTCGGGTTTATTGTAAGAAACGTCTTCCGTGCCTCCCGAAACACCGCGGAAAGAGATGCTGGTTTTAGGAATATCTTTTTAACTTCACATTGATTGAATCCAGTAAGAAGATTTCATAGATGTCTCGAAGTGCGACCAGCAGTGTTCAGCA